GCCCGCCAGAATGCTCCCGTGCCATTGCCTCGGCCACTTAGGCGGTTTTCGGACCGCCACCTATACGTGTGCGTGCGCGTGTTGTCAAAGCGTGTGCGTGCAACCACTCGTGTTCCGATTACGAGATAGAGCATTCTTCGGGCGATTTTTTTCGGGAAGAGGGTGGAAATCGTGGCACGAGGATAATGCTTGCACCTTTTTCTATGAGCGTTGTTCCTTTTCTTTCATTCATAGTCGCATAGATCTTCCCACACAAAGGTGCCTCTCTTTCCAAATCTATCCTCGATCGATCGAAATTTTTCAATTTATTGTACCTTCCATTTTCCTTCTCATCGACGTGCACGTGTACGGCAAATTTTGAATACGAAGAAGATGATACCTTTCAGAGATGGAGATGGATTTATTCGCGGAGATCCCTTTTGGAAAGAGAAAAATTGAATATTGGAAATTTTTACGATTAATTTTTTAATCGCAAGGCATTGTGCGTAATAATCGGGGGAATGATCGATAAATCGAGTCGAGCGAAACCAAGTTTCTCCGGCTTCTCCCTTTCTCCCACGATCGTGGATCTCCCGCCGATCGATCTCGATTATCCGTTCGTATCGTGTATCGAGCGAGGGCAGTTTCCTTGGAACTTGTACATCTTCGGCGTTGCGGACAGGAAGGAGGAAGGACGCGAGAAGGGTGAGAGAGGAGGCCGAGTGGTATGAAAATGATTCCGGGGCAGGAAGCGGAGGTTCACCCGTGATTTAATTCCCCGTTAAGTAAAAGCCCGTACTTCCTGATCGATTATTCGTGTCGTCAGATCGGCGTGGAAATCGCGATTCGATCGAGTTGGCCCGATTAGACACGACGAATTTCCGATTTTCATCCGAGACGTTTCTTCTTTTCCTTTTTTTTTTTTTTTTTTATTATCATTATTGTCCTTCTGTCTTCTCATCGCGTGACCAATTAATTATGGATTCGATAGACTCTGGAGGATTATTCAACGTATCGTATAAATAAATCGAATAAATGTTTCATTTTTTTTCTCTTTCGATTAGCATAAATAAATAACAAATAAATAACGATACGCTTGTGCGTATATAATTCTAAATGTAAAAGAGAGAGAGAGAGAGAAGGGGGAAAAAAGAATAAACCGATACAGATATCTCGGTTATCGGGAAACAATGAGCAAAGGCTCCGTAACGAAACGAGTCAGGATAATTATTTCAGATAAGAGTGTGCATCATAGAGCAGATACGCTCGATATAAAAAAGAGAGAAAGAGAGAGAGAGAGAGAGAGAGAGAAAGTTAGTAACAAAGTAGCGCGTAATAATCTACATGGAACGAAATCACAATTTCGATGTCGAGAATCAAATATATACGTGTATACATATATATTTTTATCGGGATTCTTTCATACAACGGCGGAACAATGGAAGAAGGCTCGTGACCCGCGACCAATCGCTGCTACCAACCGCGTGTGTTGGTGCACGCGTGTAGACGCGACATAGCGTGGGTAATCGCTTTGATTCCGCGAACGAGAACGGATATTAGGAAATATCTCTGCCGTGAAAAAAAAAAAAGGAAGAAAGAAGAAGAAGAAAGAAAGAAAAAAAAAAAAAAAAGTAGAAACTAAAAAGCCGCATCCTCCACGATGCACGCGTATACACGATATCGAATCGTGCAGGCGAAACGCATTTTCTGTCGTTTCGTTCTTGTGACTTTTGCGCAACCTTGGATTTCCTTTTCTTCCCTCCCTCAGATTTCTTTTCTTCCCGGATTTCGGAAGGAAAGAAATTCGAGGCTACGTCTTGTCGTTCTCTTCGAAGAGAGAGGCAGAGGGAGAGTTGGTTCCTCTCGAAACTTTCGTCTCGGAGGACAGAGAAGAAATTTGGCTTTTCTTTCGTTTAGAAGAAGATAGAAAATTTGAGGATGAAGAGTGAGAAGAAGGAAAAAGGGGTTGGTCGAGTTTCGTATTGGCGCCCCTCTGAAACGATAGGAATTGGTTTGATGAATCACGGCAATCGTCTCCTTCGCAATAATGGACGTAATAATAACGAAGCACGGGTAAGATCGTTGGTCACGATTATGTTCGCTCTTGTACACGGGAATGGTAAAAAAAAGCAGGGAGGGAGCCGAGTGAGGCTTTGCACGCGCGGCTAACGCCGCCTCGCTGTGAACGTAATTGGCTTAATGACACGGAATTCTATAATCGCGTAACCGCGAGCATTAATTACCCCAATGCTCGTCGCGTCGCTCCGCCGCTACCTGTGTGTAAACAAAACGCATCAATCGTAAACAATATCGCTCGAATTGGATTAATTGGACAGAACAATATTTCGTCGAAACTTTGTCAAACTTCCCAATTATTTCTTATCCGTCATTCGATCATCGATATTCGATTACAAAAAGCTCAGAATTCGAATGCCCTGCTCGAGAGCAGGCGTTGCGTTAAATTTAAACCCCTCCCCTCCTCTTTCGACCTTTTTCTTCGTTCCTTTCGATTCTTCCATTTCGATCCTTTCGATTTCCCATCCGAAAGTGCGATGGAAAAATTGCTTTGGATTGTCGCGCGAAGGACGAGGGATCGCCGACTATTAAAAAAAAAAAAAAAGAAAAAAAAAGTGATCGCGGAAAATGGTGGCAGAACTGAGGAAAGTTTGTTCCGTTTTCCATCCAGATGTCGACGCGGCGAAGGCCTCTCTGGAGAACGTGGCGGGCAACATGTACGAAAGCGTATGCGTGCCAGATTTAGGTGATTTCTTGGGATACCAGAGCGGCGGCGGCGGTGGTCATCAGGTCGCGACGCCGGAACACAAGAGTCCAGCGACGCCAGCGAGTTCCGCAACCTCGAACTCGTCGGGCCCGCAAAACGGCGGAAACCAAGCGGGGGCCCCGTTGCAACCACCTTCCGCCTCGGTCTCTCTGCCCTCGAGACAGTATCATAACGATGGTAAGTCTCTCTCTCTCTCTGTTTCTCTTTCTGTTTCTTCTATCCTCTCTCCTCCGTTTCTCCTCCATAGAAATAGAACGAGGCTCTCTCTCTCTCTCTCTTTCTCTCTGTTCCTCTCTTTTCTCTCTGTCTCTGTTTCGATCGGTGTACGCGAGTGTATGTAAGTGGAAAGTACACAGGGATTCGCGTCGATATAATACTCGATGTTGTAATTCATGGAAATGAGACACTGGTCGTTCCAAGGTATCGATCGATTAACGTTGAAAGATCTCTGGATCTTTGTTGTATCGAGGTTAAGATATACATAGGTTCTCGTCGGACGCGAGGCGATAAATTAGAAGGAAGCAGGGGTTGAACCTGGTGGTACAAGGTTTGTTTCCTTGTCTTTTTTTCGTCTTCCCCTCGATTCTCCCTGTGTAAAACTGCGGCCGACGATACGAACGTTGAAATTCCGTTGTCGTTGTCCGCGTCAGGTGTAGGCAGACGGAGTGACATTCGGTGTAAATCTCTCGCAGCGTTTCCCAACCGATCCGTCTTTCCCACCCAATTCCTTCGAGGAATTGTAAGCGTAAATCTCCACCTCCGAACGATTCCAAGGAACGAATCTTAATTGAACCTCTCTGCCCGAACCATCTTACTTCACGTTCTAACCATATGGGTACTCCGATACTCGTTCCGATATATTGAGATTCCAAAGCGATGGAGGAGACGATGCTACTATTTCGTATTTTCAAGTTGGGAAACGCTGACCGGAGGAGACTTGCAAGAGCAAGTCCACCGTGCGACAAGCCGATTTATTTATTTCCCCGATTGCGGGCTAAGGAAAGCGTTGCGAGTGGCGGGCGCACGGAGGAGTTTCTCATTGTTACGTCAGGGTGGGTGATACCATCTCCCCGCGTTTGCACGTGTTGCCACAAGTCTCTCATTATCGTCGTTGCGTTCGCCTTCTCGTTCAACAGTCCTGCTGATCCTCGTTCCTCGTCGTGGAGAGGGGGAGCGGGTGGCGAGCGACGATTTCACCCACCATTTTTCCGCGATCCTCTCGAAGAAGAAAAAGAAGAAGAAGAAGAAGAAGAAGTCGGCTCATTAACCGAGACTCGCAGCACGGGGCGAAGGGTTGGCGGATTGCGATATATTCGCGGTGCGCAATTCAAACCGACGTGATTCACCTTATTCTCCGCTGTTTTCATCGGCTCTCGACTCTTGACGCAATTCATTCAGCCGAAGGACTTCGCCGTTCCACGGACGAACAATGGAAAAATTCGAGGGAGCAAATCGAGGTCTCGTTCATTCATTCGACCACGATTTCTCGTCGTTCATTTTCCTATTTTTCTTCTTGCTAGTTGGACGTGGAAATTGTCCTCCAATCGATGCATAAAGTTATTCCACTGGATTTTTTTAAATTTAATTTCGAAAAGTTGATCGTGGAAATTGGATCCTCCAATCGACTCGTTCTATTGTTAATCAGGATAGCAATTACATCGAACAAATGAAGATCGCTTCGATTTAGAAATTACTCCACTGGATTTCCTTAAATTTAATTTCGGAAAGTTGATCCTCCAATCGACTCGTTCGATTCTATTAATCAGCAATTAAGTCGAACAAATGAAGATCGATTCGAATTTAGAAATTATTCCACTGGATTTCCTTAAATTTAATTTCTAAAAATCGATCCTCCAATCGACTGGTTCGATTCTATTAAGGATAGCAATTAGATCGAACATATCCGAGCAAACGAAGATCGCTTCGATTCGAATTTAAAAATTACTCCACTGGATTTCCTTAAATTTAATTTCTAAAAATCGATCCTCCAATCGACTGGTTCGATTCTNTCAGCAATTAAGTCTAACAAATGAAGATCGTTTCTATTCGAATTTAAAAATTACTCGACTGGATTTCTTTAAATTTAATTTCTAAAAATCGATCCTCCAATCGACTGGTTCGATTCTATTAAGGATAGCAATTAGATCGAGCATATCCGAGCAAACGAAGATCGCTTCGATTCTAATTTAAAAATTACTCCACTGGATTTCCTTAAATTTAATTTCTAAAAATCGATCCTCCAATCGACTGGTTCGATTCTATTAAGGATAGCAATTAGATCGAGCATATCCGAGCAAACGAAGATCGCTTCGATTCTAATTTAAAAAAAGTTATTCCACTGGATTAAATTTAATTTCGAAAAATTGGAGGAAAATTGGGAGGGAGGGGGAAGTTTTGGAAGGTTCGCTCGCGCGGAATCGGCGACACATGGATGACGCGCGTGGTGGAGGGAGGAGGGAATAGTGTGCTCGGGTCGAATAGAAGCGAGGAACACGGGAGAGCATTACGAGGCGAGCGTTCGTAGCGTAGGTAACAATTACCTAGCCGGGGGCCTTACGTCATTGCAGCAGTGACCGTGGGTGAACGAGGGAAAGTCGGGCCCTCTGCACGCTTCGCCGCGGACAATGGAGACGACGCCGGCCTCCGTTGCCTCTCTCGACATCCTCGCGTTTAGTCCAATAAAAAAATCCGCCTCCCGATCACTCCCTTCCCAATTTCGGACTTTGACCCAACTGTTCGACGCGGTCGAACGCGATCCCTCCTTTTAATTATTATTAACCTATCGATATCGAAAATGAAAATCTTTCTTCGCCGATAGCAAAGATAAAATGATGGAAATTTTCTATTGAAAATGTTTTATCTCAACGCGATTTATAATATCATCATAAACTCGCGCTTTACCATATTTTTATATATTTTTGCATATCTCGTCCATTTTGCATACAATAGAACACGCTTGCTCTTACAGAAACTTTCTACTTTATTTATTACGCGTTTAAATATAGCATAAATGCGTATAAATATTCTACATCATAAAAATCGTAAGCCTCTCTCCGCTTCGATCGAATATCGAAAAATATTACAGAAGGGTGAAGGAATATAAGAAAGTAAAAGAAGAGAATTGTCGCGACGAAATTAATTTTCATTGTTGGCGCGCGAAATCGAACAATCGTATTCACCGGCGATGATGATTCAGCGATCGGTGGAAGGTTGTAGGATTTGTTTGCTTTACAACGATCCGAGGCGATCGAACGGACGATATAATAAACGGTTGGAATAAACGGACGAATTATGCGAGGATCCCTCGGGTGGAAAACGTTGGAGAACGTTTTGTGCACGAGGTAACGTAACGCATCGGTTCCATGAGGAGGAGGTCGAAAGCGAGGATGAGCGAGAGTCGAACCAGAGACCTCGAACAGCCGCGATACATAACGTAACACGGTGCTCCGGCAAGCAGAAATAATGAGTCTATTATACGGTCGCCTGTGTTGGTCGTCTTGCAACGACACGTTCTATACTTGCACGCGCGTATCGCGATACAGTTCGCCAATCTCGATGGAGGAATTCGCGAAATCTTTCGTCCCCCCTCCTCTCCTTTTTCTTTTTCATCAGAAGAGAATAATATAATCAAACCGATCTTATCTTATTGCCAATATCTTGCTTTAATCGGTGAAATACATCGTCGAATTTTAAGTTAGAAAAAAATAGCGTCTCGTTAATTCGTTACTCGAAACAGAGGCTGGTAACAAGATTTAGAAAATTCTATCGCGATATTTTCGAAATTCGATGCAATTTTTGTTAACACGACTCCAATTCCAATGTCGAACCAAGAAATTCTTACTGATCCTGATTTCGATATCGATATCAATGAAAAAAAAGAAGTAACGAAGAAGATTCATATCGTAATTCAACAGACCATCTAACCGATAAAACAATATTTCGAAATCCTGAAAGAATCCAAATACAATTTCGAGCTTCCATCTTTCGATACTTTAGATATTCTCGAATTCCTCGAATATCGAATCGAGCCCTAATAAAAAAAAGAACATTTCCAAAATTCGATTTTCAAAATTCGATTCGACCACGACGACGATACTTTTCGAGGATAACGTTTGACGATGATGGTTGTTTCCGTTGGTCACGTATACGCGTCGCACGTGCACGAACACGGCGGCCGCTTGTGCATAAATTAAAAGCCGGTGTCGAATCCCGTGCGCGCAAAAGCGATTCCCTACGGTTTACTGACACCTGGCCAAAAAAGGCACGGCCATCGTGACGCCATTCGCTACGTTTATGGAAAGGTTAGTCAATCGTGCCGACCGGTACAATGATTATTTGTTAAGCAACCACCGCGTGATAACTAACTGGCCACACGGCATTTTGATCGCTCTCCTTCCTCGCGCTTGCGTGTCCTCCGCGCCCCGTCCTCCTCTTCTCGTCCTTTTTCTCCTCCCTGCTTTTCGACTTTAAACCGCGCGTGTGGAGGAGAGATCGATCGACCTCCTCTCCATCTGGGGAACGGGTCGAAGGGTTGCTCGATATTTAGGATATTGGATGTCACTGGAACGAGTCGGAAATGGAGTGGATTTCGATTCGTTTAAACGGGGAGATCGATATCTTTTGAAAGAGAAGAAGAAGATCGAAGATGGTGTAAGAAATTATTACACCGCGTGTAGCTTTCCAAACGGTTCCCTCCCGCATACGTAATTAGAATTTCACAAGGTGCCATAGAGTTAACCGAATAACTAAATTATACTACATATATTCCTTCGCGTAGCTCAAAAATTATTATTTCAAAATTGTCGAAGAATCGAGAACCAGAGTTTCGTTTCGACAATCGATGTCTAATTCTAAGAAAGCTTCGAAAGATTTCTAAGAAAGCTGGGGGCGAAAAGTAAGTAAAGTGGTTGCGTAAAGTCGGGGTGCGAGGAGATCGAAACGAGCATGCGCCACGATTGGAGAATTGTGCGCGAGGCCAACGTGGAACAAGCGTCTAGTCGGGGATGAAGGATCCTGCGAAGTAGAGGATCGTCGTGGAGGGATGAAGCGAAAAGGGAAAAAGGCGTGCAGAGGAGGGGAGGGGATGGATGATGGTTGTTGGCGCAGGTTGTATTCATTCACTCGTTCATTCATAGTTCGTACACCGCCTCGGGGGCCTACAAAGCCTCTGGCTCATT